GCCCAATAGCCCTATAGCCCTACAACTCTATAGCCCTATAGCTCTACAGCCCTATTGCTCAATAGGCCTATAGCCCCCTAGCCCTATAGCCCTGTTTGGATGTTTTCTGCGGTATCATTCTTATTTGTCTCCTGATGAATTGGGCCTGTGCGTCGGTCTTGTCGGCTTGTCGTCGTCCACCGCCGCCCGTCGCAGTCGCCCGCTGGGCCTGTGCGTTGGTCTGGCCAGCTTGTCGTCGCCCGTCGCCGCCCGTCGTCGCCGCCCGCTTTGCATTGCTTTGCAGTGCTCTGCATTGCTTTGCGTTGCTTTGCATTTCTTGCCTTGCTCTGCGTTTTTTTACATTTATTTGCATCGCATTGTGCATTGCTTCGCATTGCTTTTTAATGCCTGACGTTGCTATGCGTTGGTTTGCGCGGCCTTTTGCATTATATGGATTCGCACTGCCGTGCAGTTGTGTTTGCATTGCCTTGCACCACGGATTGCACCACATGGATGGCACCACCTAGATTGCACCACATTGACGGCACCACTTAGATGCATTGCGTATACTGCAAGAGCTCATTGTTTCGTGTCCACGCTGGCCAACTTCATTTGTAGTACAAACCTCTAGCGAAACGCTGGCAGGGAAAACTTCATAAACGAGCACTTGCAGAGCTCCGTGAGGCTTCCCCGGGGGATGTAATAAAGAGGCTTACGCCATTCCGCCGGAGCTTGCGACGAGCGTTGATGTTAGCTAATGGCCTTCGGCCCATCCCGCCACCTGGCCTGGGTTGTGGGCATGAAGCCTATTTGATGTTCGCTGGGATCTCGTGCGAGGCCCCTCGGGGGCCGTAGAGGCAGTTTGGACGCTTCTTGGGGGCCGTTTTGGGGCTTCTTGGGGCTCCGTTTGGGCATCGTGGGGGCCTCCCTCTTGGGGGCCTCTTTGGACCTCTTGGGGGCCTCTTGGGGCCTCCTGGGCGCCTCTTGGGGCCTGCTGGGGGCCTCTTGGGGCAGAAGGCTCGGATTTTCGGTTTGTGTTCCTTATCTTAGGCCCCTTTTGGGGCCGTATTTGGGCCATCTTGGGCCGTTTTGGGCCGTCTTGGGGTCCTCTTGGGCCGTTTTGGGATTTTCTTGGAGACCTTTTTGCCGACTTGGGGCGGTCTCGAGGGCGTCTAGGGCCGTCTTGGAGCATCGGGAAGCCGAAACGGCGAGAACGCCGAAATCCGTCAACAAGCCTGGGAGGCCTCTCTGGCGGTCCCGAGGCTGTCTTGGGCCATCTTGGGGCTATCTTGGCTGTCTTGGAGACATTGGGCCATCTCGGCGGCTTCGGTGGCCTCCGAGGTCCGTCTTGAAAGCCGTCTTGGGCATCTTGTACGCCATCTAGGGCATCCGAGGAGCCCCCGAGGTGCATTGACGAGCTCGCGCCCCCCCGCTAGAATTGGATACGGGACCCCTGGGGAGGGAGGAAGGGGGAGGGGGGCAGCCAAATGTCTCACACGCCTTTCGCGCCCCGCAAGCGGAGGCGGGTCAGGACCCCTCTACACTATAGTTTTCCCCGGGGTGGGGTCGGAGCCCCCCCCCCCCCACTGAATTATCCGGGGGGGGGGGGGGGGGGAGGCCCCATCGGTTTTTTTCCAGGGGGTGTGGGGGTCGGGCGAGGAGAATTATGCACATGCACCGATCCTGGCAAGGCCCATCCTTGACCCATGATCGGTGCATATGCCTTCCTGGCCAAGGTAGGAGGGCGTATGCACCGATTCTGGGCTCAGGATGGGCCTGGCCAGAATCGGTGCATGTGCACAGTTCTTTTTCCTCTAGGGGGGGGGAGGCAGGGGGAGGACCGGGGAGGGGCCCCCCGGTTTCCGAACCCTCTTGCAGAGCATGTTCAGGCCAGCGACGGTGGACGTTCTCCCTCGGCTCTCTGCGTGCAGCCCGATTCGGCTTCGCCGCCAGGCGCTTTTGTCGATACAGTGCCGCCTCCAGCTCCAAGGGGTACACCTTGGGCGATGCTTAAGAAAACTTACGTTTTCGGCCAGAGTCTCGATTATTCTTAACGTTTCAATGTAAATCCTAAGATTTGAATGGAAACTTTAGGTTTTTATTCAAGTTCTGAGACTATGAATTTCTTAACCCATGATTTCTTAAGCTTTTCGCAGGGTGTACCAGTATCGTTGAACCTGTCCCCATCCCCACCGAGCCCAGGCTCGTCCCCGCGGGAGGGCTGGCCGCCGCAGCGGCAGTGCCAGGAGGGGGGGGGGCAGGGGGGAGGTTTTGGATTACTGTTGGGTCTTCGGCTTCGGGGCCATGCTTGGGGCGTCTTGGGGCGTCTGGCGGCCCTCTGCGAGCGTCTTTGGGGCCTCGTGGGACCCTCTGGGAAGCGTCTTGAGGAGGGCATGGTATCACAATCACAGTGTCACCATCCCACCACCCCAGTTTCGCAGGCATCACCAAGATCGGCGGTGTGCATCCGCCGAGGGAAGAAGATCCCGATCTCGGTGATGGTGGTAATGTTCTGGCTTCCAAGGTGGCCGAAATATTACCACCAGCACCAAAATCTAGGATCATCTTCCCCCTGTGGAGGCAGCCCCCTGTCTTGGTGTTGGTGCCCATTTCCAGGCCTCCAACAGTTGGGGATAGGCCCCTCAAATCCCGAAGGGAGCAGCCTTTCTCCCCATCAGCGGGGTAAATCGACCAGAGGGGCTCAGGCCACGCCAGTGGGATTCAGTGGGATCCCATGCCAAGAAACACCCTGCTTGCCTCCAGGGTGCCCTGGGCTTCTTGGGCCTCGATGTTTGTGCGATGGGAAACACGCCGTTCCCACACCAACCATCAATGGACGTCCTGGGGTCTCAGGGTTGGATTTCTTTTGGAAGGTCTCTTGTGGTCGAGCTCCTTCTGTGGTGATCAGCAAAACTAGGTTCAAGGCATATGTTCAGCAGCTGCGTGCAGCTTATTCGTTAACCCCCCTCTGCTATCCCCACAGGTCGTCGGCCCCAGGGTGCAGACTAACGCTTAGGTTGTGGGGCCTTTTGCTTTTGAAACCGACTTTTTTCCCTGGGTGTCTCCACGGGTTTATGTTATTGATCCGCATTGTTGTGGTTGTGTTTCGGCTGTCGGTAGTCGAAGAAGCGACGACATAAGCAGATTAGAACACTTACCAGCTTGAGTGCCACAACCTTTCGGAGGTCCGCACGGATCTCTTGGATCGGCGCTGCCTCCGCCCTCCCTCTGGCGCGCGGAGCGCGCAAGTGGCAGCGCTGGAGGCGCCGCGAGGGAGGTCCAGCGCTCATCCAAGAAATCCGCGCGGCCTTGCGGCAGGTTAAGCTTGAGGGCTCCACCTAAACGGTTTGTGTCTTGCGATTTCGTGTGCCGGTCTCGTTTCGACGGCGTTTTGCAGCAAAGACGGAGCGTAGACAGAACGAGGGAAGACGAAAGTTTACCGAACACGGCATACATTGTTTAGGTTGAGCCTTGTTCTGTTTCTACAAATGTTTCATGGCGGCGACTCAGAGTCTCAGGGTCAGAGCGCTCTTCCCGAACTGGACGGCCTGGTGCAGCAGGCTGACGGCCTTTGGCAGATTCTCCAGCCTCTCGTCCCTCTGGCAGCCTCTCCAGCCTCACTTCACGTCCGAAGCGGAGATCTATCCATAACCACCGCCTGGGGGATCCATCTTTGGGGACCTCTGCCTGCGCTGGATGTGGAACTGGAGGTCCCCGAGGGTCGATCCCCCAGGTCATGGTGATGGAGAACTTCAAGCAGTTGCGAAGCGTCTTAGCTTGCCTATAGGCCCACCAAGGAATGTTCTAATAACGTTTTGCGGTTTGCACGAAATGTTCTCAGAACACTTCTGGCTGGGACCGTCATGTTTTAACACATCGGTATTATGCTCCAAAAACATTCGTTTTGCTGTTCGAGCATTTTTGGGTTCTAATCTAGGAGTGCTGTGACGGTCGGTCCCTGTTCAATTTTTCCGCCTGGCGCAGAGGGGGGGCAGGGGGAGGGGGGAAGGCTTCTTAGAAGCACCCCTTCTTCTTAGAAGGCACGGCCTTGTCTGTAGATGTAGGGCCACCGCCTTCCAAGAAACAGTTTTCCTTCCAAAACGCCTTCCCCCCTCCCCCATTACCCCCCCTCTCTGCGCGCCGCCAGAACCTCTCCGCCCCGCACTTCACGGCCTGATGAACGCTTATACTCGTGCAGCTTTCTTGTCCCTCCGAGTTGGCGCCTTCCTGCCTAGGCCAGTGCTCCACGTCGTGCGGCCCGGGCGTGCGGATGCGCAACCGCACGATCCTGCGCACGAGGTCCGAGGGCGGCGACGGCTGCATGACGCACCTCGGCGAGGCGGAGGCGTGCCAGGAGTCCTCCGCTTGCGGCCCCGTGGACTGCAAGTGGGCCGACTGGTCCGACTGGGACGCCGGCACCTCGGATTTTTGTCCGCCTCCTCGGCTCGGTCGCGCGGTGCCTCCTCCTCCTCCTCCTCCTCCTCCTCCTCCTCCTCCTCTTCCTGCTCTTGCTCCTGCTCCTCCTTCTCCTCCCTCCTCCTCCTCCTCCTCCTCCTCCTCCTCCTCCTCCTCCTCCTCCTCCTCTCCTCCTCCTCCTCCTCCTCCTCCTCCTCCTCCTCCCTCTCCTCCTCCTCCTCCTCCTCCTCCTCCTCCTCCTCCTCCTCCTCTCCTCCTCCTCCTCCTCCTCCTCCTCCTCATCCTCCTCCCTCCTCCTCCTCCTCCTCCTCCTCCTCCTCCTCCTCCTCCCTCCTCCTCCTCCTCCTCCTCCTCCCTCCTCCTCCTCCTCCTCCTCCCTCCTCCTCCTCCTCCTCCCTCCTCCTCCTCCTCCTCCTCCTCCTCCTCCCTCCTCCTCCCTCCTCCCTCCTCCCTCCTCCCTCCTCCTCCTCCCTCCTCCTCCTCCTCCCTCCTCCCTCCTCCCCTCCTCCCTCCTCCCTCCTCCTCTCCTCCTCCCTCCTCCTCTCCCTCCTCCCTCCTCCTCCTCCCTCCTCCCTCCTCCTCCTCCCTCCTCCCTCCTCCCTCCTCCCTCCTCCCTCCTCCCTCCTCCTCCCTCCTCCTCCTCCAGGGATCCGCTGGCCAAGATTAGTGAGCAAGAGCACGTGGTGGCCTCCCTGCATGCTGATTGCGAGCAATTGGCAGCCAAACAAGCGCAGGCGGAGGAGCACGTGCGCAACATCGCCCTGGCCCTTCAGACCGCACAAGCGGACCTCAGCCAGGCTTCTACGTTACTAGCTTATTTCAAGTCGCAAGCACCGCCAGCCGCCGCCATCACTGACTCGCTCATGATGGGGGATGCGGCGGATGAGCCAGGTGCAGTACAGCGCACTGCGGCACTCTCTGCAACGCATACAGGCGAGGAGCGAGCCGACCCACCTGACCTGGGAACGGCCACGCCCCTCACTGCAGCGCCGCCCTCTCCCCCGCTCCTCCACTGCCCTGCGCCCCTCCCAGGCATCCAAGGTTTGGAACAGCCTTACATCACATCACTCTCCGCGGCCATGCAGAGTAACGCCGAGGCCATGGCCAGGGAGGTTGCCACCATCAAGGCAAGTTTTGACTCCCAGGCCCAAGCCATGCACCCTAGTCTCACAGATCAAGGCCGGGCAGCTAGTGCCAGCCGCCGTTTCTAGCCACGGCGCTACGGTCCGGGGGGGGGCCACAGCGCCGTCAGGATGTGAACAGGCCCGCGCTTCCCCCAAAGCAGGCCCGCTATTCCGCCTAGGTTTCGTGCCCAAACCCGGGCCAGCGCCAGTGCCCGAGACGCCGACAGGGGAGGTGATCACCACTGCGCCCACGTTTCAAGATAGCTCGGTTCGGGAGGTTGCTATCAACCAGCAAAACCCGGCAGCAGCTTCCGTAAAGGAACCCAGCGATATGCCCCCGCCTACCCGTTCTGCCAGCCAGCTTGGGTGGGACCTCTCCGATGAAAAGGGGGAGCCAGTCACCATGGCATCCTCCCGCCGCAGCGCAAGCGCTCAGGCCAGGGGCAGATCCGCACGCGCGGGTCAGGCCGACGAGCGCGCGCTTTCAGGCATCAGCGAGGAAGATTTTGTAGGTAAGCAGGCAGCACGCAGCAAGAGCCCTCGTGGCTCACGTCGCCCCAGGCCTGCGACAGCCGAGGCTGAGTCAACGTCACGTGCAGGGGCACCCGCCATGGCTGCCCCACGCAGTCCTGCAGATGCAATGGCAGAAGCAGAGGCTGCGGACCTTCGCGCTGAAGCCGAGGCCCACGCGGCACAAGCTGCTCAGGGCGATTTAGCCCAGGCAGCGCGCGACGGCACGGTTTTTCAGGTCGCTCCCCCGGACACTGCCCGCGGGTGAACCTGGGGGGGCGGCAAGGTATACGCCGCAGCCCGCTTCCGCCCATGGGGTGGATGCTACCGGTGCTTACGGCTACCTCCATACAGTTGGTCAGGGACTTCGATGTCATTTTTCCAGCCCTCCACTCCTCCTCCATCCCCACCTGGCACAGCTTTGTCTTCGATACTCCCTACGCGGCTTTTGACTCCGCGGATATATATACTGACGCCAGCGGAGGGGCCTCCAAAGGAGATCTCGCTGGCCCGCCAGCGCGGGCTTTTCTGGTCTTTGCATGGCTTAACGGCACTCGACACTTTCTAGGCTTCCTCGGGTGTCCCACCCCGGAGATAATAGGAGCAACTAGAGTCTCCGCTAAAGCGGAATTCGATGCCGCCACCTGGGCGGCGTTATGGGCCCTACAGTCCCCCTTTCCTCCCGCCGTTCCTCTCACCTTTCACTCAGACAACATGGACGTAGTCGCCACCGCCCAAGGCGGTACAGTGGCCGAGCCACTAATGGAACATAGAAGCCGCCTCGACAGTCTGTGCAAGGTACTTGGCCTGAAACGTCGCTTTACATGGCAGCGCGTGCACGGTCACCAAGCAGACCCGCTCAGCGAAATGGTTGACACGGTCGCCAGACTGTACTCCCTCGCACTGCTACCTCCTCCAGTGCTCCCGCCCCTCATGAGCTTTCTCCAAGACAATGCGCACATTTTGGAATGGCTTTGGCTTGAGTGCCTTCCTCAGCAACAGCGAGCGCTTTACCCGCCTAGCCATCAAGTTAGTCTTAATCCTCCTCTCCCCCCACGCACCTCGCTTGCTGATGTTTTTCCAGGTCTCTCCAAAGAGACAGCCCCGATCGCAGACGCCACGGCATCCTGCTGTCTCAGGCTAGCATCAGCCAACATTCTCTCTCTCACGCCTGCTTCGCGCATCTCCCAAAGAGCCAGGCTTGCAGGCGTGGCCGTCAAAGGGCGCCTCCACCAGCTGGCCGCTGCCTTTCCACGCAATGGGCTCGACGTTATCGGTATGCAAGAAACGCGAGTCACAGCCGCGGGCTCTGGCAAACGCCAGGTCCCCCCGTACGTAGTCTTTTTGTCAGAATCTCAAGCTGGAACTCATGCTTGCGGCTGCGCGCTATGGGTCAACCTTGCCACGCCCGTTTTTCCCAATGCCAAAGGCATTCCCACTTTCCCTATTAAGTCTCACAGTGTGCGTATTGTACACCAAGACCCGCGCATTATCGCGGCCGTCATCAGTCAGAACGGCCTACGCTTCAGCATCCTCGTGGCACACGCTCATCATTCCGGGCGCCCTCTCCGCGAGCAGGCCGCATGGTGGCAGCACCTTAGATACGTGCACGACCATATTTTACCGCAGCCCACTCCTACTCTTGTCCTTATGGACTCCAATGCTGCAGTGGGCACGCAAACATCAGCGGCCATTGGCCCCCAACACGCGGAGCAAGTCAACGCGGCAGGCTCCTTTTTCCATCGATTCCTACTTGCATCTAATCTTTGGCTGCCGGCCACCTTTGTGCCACACCCTCTGGGGGCGGGCACGTGGATCGCGCCAGCACGTGACCCCGCCTTCAAACAGCACTGGAAAGCGCAGGGACTACATAGCTATACCCATAGGCGCCTCTGCCAATGAATGCGAAGTCAAGTACTCTCTTACTTTGGCACTCGCAGTACTAGACCACGCTGCCCCGTGCTTATCATGCCGCTTCAAGTTGCAGCTTCGACCAAACGAGGACCAGGGACGCCAGGTCATGCGTATTCCGCATGATCCTACAGCATACCTCGACCCGACGGCCAGACAGCTTTTTGAAGACACTTTCTCGCCTCCCCCTGAAGCTTTAACTTTCGACTTGCACGCCTCCGACCACGCGCTCATCCTTGACAGGGAGGCGCGCAATGCCATGCTACAGGCATTTCCCCAACCCCGCACGGCTACAGGTCGCGCACCTACCAATTCCCGCATCTCCATGGCCACCCTTACGCTTATGGATGCCAGAGCCTTAACTATCAGTCAAGCCAACACGCTTCAACATGAAGCAAGCAACCTTTTCTTGCTGGCAGCTATCGCGGCTTGGAAGCGATATGTGCGTTCCAGGCAAGCATTTACACGTCCTAAAGCGGCCTTGCTACATCACGACGAGCTCTCGCTGATGCCCGCAGTTGATAATGCTTTTGCCAAACTTGCGGAGCTCGGCGCTGCTCTCCGCAGCATGCGTGCCAGCATGGCTGATCCGAATGCCTCCATTAAATGGAAGCCCAGGATACGCATGGCCTGCTTGCATCAGTTTTTAGCATCCTCGCCTATACGCGTTGCTAAAACACGCTTTCCTCATGCTTGCTCTGCGCCTACCATAGGTACCGCATACGCGGCTGCCATTCAATTACGCGCACGCGCAAGCGCCATCAGGGCCATCATCCTAGCTCAATTCACACAGGCAGTACGTTGCTCCGTCGACCTGGATGCCGCTTTTCACCTACAAGGCATTGCCGCCGAAGTTCACGAGGCATGGCAGACCTCACAACAGCGCACTGCCTTTGCGCGCTTACGTACGCTGGGCGTGGGCTCTAAAAAGAAGCTACGCTCCTCTCCCCTACCTATCCTCTCCACGGCAGCGGGCACCTTCGTGGTAGACGCCACTCAAGCGGCCGACACATGGTTATCCCATTTTGCTCGACAGGAGCATGGTGCAGTTATCCCGCTCAAACATGTCAAGGCCTACGACGCTAGTGCATCGTATCTGCCTGCTGACCTTACTGTGGATGTTCCCCCTCCATACTCCCTCTTCTCCCTAGCGCAAATCGAACGCGCCTATGCCAGGACCCCAGACTCGGCAGCCAGCGTGGATGGCTTCAAAGGAGCCTTTGTCAAGTCGTTTCACCGTCTACTAGCGAAGCAGTACTACCCGGTCCACCTCAAGGCGCAGGTGCGCCTTGAGGAACCGCTGGCTTGGCGGGGGGGGGTACAACTTCGACGTGTTTAAAGGCAAAGGCAATCCGGCCATAATGGCCAACTCTCGCTCGGCAATGGCCCCCCCCCACTTCTCCAAGCGGCATCGTGCCCTATTGCGCAAAGAATTGGTGGAATATCTCCC